ATGTATGTATGTATGTATGTATGTATGTATGTATGTATGTATGTATGTATGTATGTATTTATATGTATTTCAAATCACAAATAAAATGAAATGAAAGGCAGCAGAGAGAAGAAAAAATCTTACATCTGCCCTTTTTCTAGAATAAGTTCATATGACAAAAAAATGTCACTAACAAAACAAAAGACAAGAACATCTAATCCCTCTAGAACAACAATTTATATAGATACACCTTAAATGGTTTCATATTTCTTTAGCAATCCAACTTTTATCATTTTCTTAAATGCACATAATTTTTTTACATCACTCCCCAAGTTATTCCATAGTTTTATTCCTTTTGAAGCTGATTTCCCTTTCAGAGTTTCATTCCACAGCCTCGAGGTGAGTTGTGAAACCATCTTTAGATGATCACACAGATAAACCAGACAAAACGTGGCCAGATGTTTCCTAGCATGACAGAAACCTTCACACCGTGGCTGTTCATAAAAATGTAACTCAAGCGTGACGACACGAGCACGTCCAAAAACGTCTGACTCTGTATGTGTGTCTGTGTCTACGTGCTCACGTGTGCGTACCTAATAGTCTTGTGTGCGTGTCTGGGAGCAAATATGAAAAGAAGTAGAATTAAGGGTAACAATGTTACAACATCCTTTCTTTCTTCTATCATACTTTTCCTTTCTTCAGCACCTACATGTATTTTTTTTTTTCGGGGGAGGAATTTAGTTGTGTAACATATGATAATGCATACTTACAAAAGACCACCGTCTTCTACTAACTGTTCATTCCACAAACCAAAAATAAATTAATACAAGTTGCTCCTGTGAGTTTGGTTTGCGTTTTACACCTATTTGAGGAGAACATAAAACAAAATGTTGAAATGACAGCAACAAAAAGCACAAGCAAGAAAAAAAAACTTACACTGCAAAAACTGTCCGTCTTATCAAGTTTTAAAATCTTATGTCCAGCCAAAAAGTCTTTTTGATCTTGTTTTGAGACTGATTTACTAAACAAAACTGATTGTGTAAGAATAATAAACTTGTTTTCAGAATGTGTAAGATNAAGTCTTTTTGATCTTGTTTTGAGACTGATTTACTAAACAAAACTGATTGTGTAAGAATAATAAACTTGTTTTCAGAATGTGTAAGATTATTTGTCTTGTTAGTCTGAAAATTTGACTCAAATTAAGTGAAAATTTTCTGCCACTGAATGGAGTAAGAAAATTTTACTTGGTAAGATTCTTGAAATAAGAAAAAAATGAGTCAAATCAAGTATTTCAAGAATTTTACGAAGTAAAATTTTCTTACTCCAGTGGCAGAAATTTTTGACTTAATTTGAGTCAAATTTTCAGACTAACAAGACAAATAATCTTACACATTCTGAAAACAAGATTATTATTCTTACACAATCAGTTCTTGTTTAGTAAATCAGTCTCAAAACAAGATTAAAAAGACTTTTTTGCCAGATATAAGAATTTAAAACCTGGTTAGGTGGACATTTTTTGCAGTGTAGGACGATGGTTTGTGAGATCATTGCTTGATGCTGACAGAAAACTGGGTGCATCGCCACAGACTGTTGATGCTGGTGAGTAAAACACGATTATAAAGATGGTGACACCATGCACGGAGCTTCACTTCAACTTTTTCTCCCTTCAGCATTATATCTGTGCAGGATGTATAATGAAAACACTCCATGTGTTTTTTTTTTCAACAAAATACAGTTCACTTATACAAGTTTAGACCCATGTAAATGAAGACGGCAAAATACAAACCAGTGTGACAATAAAAGTGTTTTTACTTGTCTTTAGAGCATAAACATTACGAACACATTCTGCTTCAGTTTACTGTCCTTTTAGACAAAGATTCAGCTCGGTTAGTCAGATGCATTGTGAGTCTGTCTCGTGCTGCAATTAAAGAATCATATCAGTGTTTTTACTAATTTACCTGACGTGATGTTTTGGATTTTGCTCTACTGCTCATAACATAATGATCCGAACATGAAACCTTTGAAGTTACGTTCTGA